CATTAAAGATATATGTGAACATTCCAGAATGTTACAGTACAACTTAAAGTACAACATAAGTGTGAAAATTGTTGGGTATACAACCGCCTACTGAATGTAAATAAGTAGTATAAAACAACATACAAAAGAGTAGAAAAGGAACATATAGGAACAATGTAAAACAAACTCAACAGTTGGTCATTATTGCATTGGTGAATCGAGTGGATTCGAGTGACGTTGTGAGTGGATTTTCTCAGTGGTATGCGAACTCCTCGTTGTAATTGTGCACATCTCAAATGCTGACGATGGACATACACACTTGATGTTCGAGTTGTACACCGTAGAGTGCATACTTATTGGGAGTTTGATGAGGTAGATGGTTTGTTTAGTGTTGTTCTGATGTGTTCTGCTTGACATAGTTTGCTTATGTGTTGTGATGAATGTGATTAATTTGTGTTTGTTGATGTTGTTGTTGTTGTTGTTGGTGGTGGTGCTGCCCAGGCTCCCAACTTTGGGGAAAATTGAGTCCATTTTGGGGAAGCCGCTATAATAAATTTTGGGGAAATGAGAAAAACAAACCCAAAATTTCCCCAGTCCTGGGTAACTTTGGGGAAATTTTGGGGCAATCCTCAAAGTGAACTTCAGTTATTGGGAATACAACTGACTACTGAATTTTTGTAAGTAGTATAAAATAATATACAAAAGAACAAATAAACTATGGTTACGTCTGTTAAAGTCTGCGAAGCCAGGTGAAAGGGAAACGAACACGATAGCTATATGATTTTGGGGAAGCTTCCCTAAACCTTTGGGTTTTCCTGGAAAACTGTTTTAACGCAAAAGCTTCATGAAAGCCTATCGACATCACGGAATACCTAGGGAGAATGCTTACGTACATTTCTTACTGCGATGTTTAATTACTTTTCGTCAATCGCGCATTGCTAATCAAACCTAATGTTAACAGATTTATCGCGATTATGAAAAGACTGATTTATGAAATATATAAATGTTTATTACAGTTAATGAAATTACAAATGAATCATTTACAAAAAGTTTTCCTATGCGTTGTAACAGCAACACCTTACGTAGACGTAGAACTGTCATTGATAATGTTCTAAAAAATAAATAAATAAATCATTTTTAGTGTATAATAACGTGTCAAGATATGTGAAAGGTTGGTGATGTACCAACAGTATAACAATGTTCTTAATAATGCGAACAAAGAACTTACAGTAACGTCTGATAAAGCCTGCGAAGCCAGCTGAAAGGGAAACATACAAGAGACAAGTTATATCATTTTGAGTATTGATCACAAAGTAATAAGCTGTTACAGTAATTAAAATACAGTGATTATAGTGATAAATACAATGATGATTAACATCCTGTGAATTTTGGGGAAATCCCTAAAGTGAACTTCAGTTATTCGGAATACAACTGAATAATGCATTCGATTAAGTGGTATTAAACAATATACAAAACAGTAGGAAGGGGAACGAGTAGGAACAATGTGTGACAAAGTTAACATATGTATTATAACAAACATATTTAGTAGTTTTAGCTCACCCTTTCTTTGGATCGCCATCCACGTTTATGTACTTTATCTCTTGCGTCATGCAAGAAGGCCTGGCTTGCTGTAGCCATGGCGTGCGTGATCTCCTTTTCCGAACAGGTCGCACTCCGGAAGTGTGAACACAAAGCACCTACAAATATGTTGATACAGTAATGTGGACTTACTTTGAACCGTGGAGTAAAATTTGTATTTACTAATCCCGAATTTTCTTCTGGTTCCGTGCAAAGTGTAAGTGTGCTTTCGTATGACAGTTCTAACAAAAAGGATATAATAAGTTGAACAATTAACCTTTTTGTTTTTTCAGCGTCACAAGGCTGCGTTTCATCGTTAGTCGTGATGTTAGTATTGTAGCCCAGTACTGTTGCTAAACACACTTTTAATTGCTGGGCTACATTGTAGTTGTCTGAAAACAATAAATGTTAATTGATTACAACTTACCACAACGATGCACAACGGCACATTTTCTCACGTTGAATCGACTGTCAACATCAATACCGTCAACAATTTCGTGCTCACTGATATCATCACGATAAAGGTAATGATCGTTGGTCAGGAGCCATTTGTTCGGAATGCAGACCACTTGCTTGTTCTCCTTATCGTCAACTAAGATGTACTTTGCACTTTGATGCTGTAAATCAATGCGCATGCGTGATAAATTGTACATTTATTGCATTGATGAAAATTCAGTAACACTTCCTGATGGAGGATGCAAAATCCCTAACCAACAGACCGTTATTGGCTAAAGTGCTATATTTGCAACAGTCCTTGAGAAATGATGTTACATCTGCTACTCGAATGCATGCAAAAGAGGGATAATTACCTCATAATGTTGTGTGCGCAAGCACATGCACTTACAAAGTATGTCTGCTAGTGTTATCCACGTGCATTCGTGGCTTAAGGTAGAACACCTAAACATACCAATATTACTGGAGGGAAAAGGGTCGGTATATAAATCGGAAGGATTATGGAATGGCCGGAATCTAATAAGGCCTCCATCACGTATTTCTGTTACGAACCCTGGTCTACCTTTAGCAATAACTACATTGTCAGGCCTTGTAGTAGATAGCTTTGAGTTTCTGTAACTGACCATTTGCTTGGAAGAATTATCAGTTACTTCATGCTCAGTGACATTGTCAGCCATATCCTGATTCAGTACACTTTGAAAGTAAACTTCTTCGGCATATCGCTGTGCGGCTTGTTTTGCCACAGCAAATCCACAGTGTACTGAACGCCTAATCTTTCTCATGTAAGACTCAAAAGGAAATGCTGCAAACGATTCTAAAGTACCATATTCATTAACGTCGTCGGCAATGTGCTTTAAACTATGCACATTGTAGATTAAGTGTTCGGTACCGTAACACCTTTCGTAACTTAATAAAAAGTTATTAATGTAAACCCTAACACTGTTAGCGAATGTGCTATGAAACTTAGGGTGCGATAATAAATAAATAGACAAGGAGAGTGACTGGAAGTTTCTGTACATTGATAGTGGTAACCTATTATGAAGAATTACAGGTCCTAAATATAATAAGAACAACAGACATTCAGTTGCTTTCCATACAGAAACTTCATTAAGTGAACGACATTTCCGTTGAAAATCGTATGTAGTGTGTTGTCTACATGATTCTAGAGCATCGTTTATTGATGCGATGATTGATTGATCCATCCCATTTCTGAAATCACACAGCCTATAAGATTTTAATAATTCAACAGATACTACCGTTGATTGTGTTGTCTGGACACTGGATGTGACTACATGAAGCAGTAGCTGTATCTGTGACAACATTAGCCCACTGCTCTGTAGCTACGGCAGTACACGATTCTGTGACGACAACTGTATTGTCTGTCTCTTCGTCACAGCTCGGTAACTGACACTTTTTTATAAACTGTGTTTTTATTTTCCTCAACCTTCTGTAATAGGTTGATCGGGAACAGCCAAACAACCTAGGGTATTTCGTGTCTGCTGCCCGCCTTTTCGCAATCTTATCGAGCTGTCTATTACTATTCTGAAATAAATAATTCACTTAAGTAAAACTGAACATAGACAGCAACCAAATTTATCCCACCTGCACTGCAAACAACTCACCTGCATGGCTTTGAAATTTTGAAAAAGTGCTTTAAAACTGACAACTCTTTGTCTACTTATTGTAAATGTATTAAAACAAGACCTGGAATACCATAGATTATCCCTCATCAAAAGTCTGTATTGAATTAAAATGTAAATTTCTCTATTCAAATTTACTACTGTGAGGCTTATTTATATTATGTCGATGAAATGTTAGTGTGCAAAAATGCGCTACGGCAATTTTGGGGATTTCCCCTAAATTTCCCCAAAGTTTGGGGAAAACTATTTCATTTTGGGGATTTCCCCAAAATTTACACAAAGATTGAGCAAGGCTATTTCACTTTAGGGATTTCACCAAAATTTCCACAAAGCTGGTAGCTTGAGTGGTGCTGGTGGTGGTGGTTGTTGTTGTGGTTTTGGTGGTGTTTGTGAAGTTGATGCAGATGATGAGGATTAGGATTGTGCGTATGATTAGTATGATGAGTGTGAGGAGTATGAGGATGATGCTGTATAATAGTTGATGGATGATGTGATAGTGATGATGGTGAGCGGAGCACCGCACGTCGGAGTGGCCGAGCGGTCCAAGGCGCCAGACTCAAGAGTGTTCTTCTGGGTGTTCTGGTCCACGATGTGGGCGTGGGTTCGAATCCCACCTCCGACACATACTCTTCACAACGAACAACACTGAATAAAACAACAACTCAGTCGACACCACAAACATCAACCAACAAGCACAAACTGGGCCTCTCCTGTCTCTCTGTTCACCCACCTGACCAAAAACACACCGAGACACGTTCATCTGCACACATACCAACGTCTACAACTGTCACACCTCAATCCACAACATTGCAGCAACCACATACAGTCACGTAACCAATCGTGTATATTTGCATGTATGTATACGGATGCTTAGAAGCTTGTAAACATCGAGTCATCGGTGAATTTCACACACAACTTCTCACATTATCTCCTGAACTCTGGTGCAAATCATTCTCCACTTCACTCATCTCACTGACCGAATTCGTCCCATGTCTCGTCTTCCCAATACACTGTCAACTAGTTCTAACTACATTGCACACAACAACCGAAATCACATCACACCACATACACATACCCAGTCTTGTGTGCATTACGATCACAGACACGCACCCGACATTCACAGTCAAAACGCACACATAATCGACCGACGTTTCCAGTCCTCTCGATCAATACGTAGCAAAGTGAACTGCACAACACACACATCGATGAGATCAATATGGGAGTGGCGAGTTGGCGAGACCCATACAGACGATAGAGTTGACGTGATCCACAACTGACTTGCCATCCACGTGTCGACGAAACCCACCGAATGCGGTGGATGAGATATAATCTGGTTTGATGAGGTTCCGTGCGACGAGTCAACATAGGGTGGGAGGGGATCAGTTAGGAGGAGATGCGAAGTGACGTGATGTGAGCAGGGGAGAGGAGAGGTGAATGGAGAAGAGGGCAATCTGAACACCGTTGTTCACAATGATTCCAGTATGACTGGCACAACCTGACAGTTGATCGGTCTGATGAACGCGACACTTATGATTGGTGAGAAAGCGATAGGTCACTCATTTCCAAACAAACCAATCACACCCGTATATGCTTGGAATAGGCATTGGTGGACTGTGGTGTTCACTCGTAGTCGGTTTGTTGATCGATATGGCGAAGATTCTGCTTGACTGAGTGTATGCATGTGTGTGCATGCATGCATACACGCATGCCTGTCTGCTTGCAATTATGTGTGTGCGTGTGTATATATTTATGTGTGTGTTTGGTGTTTCGTGTGAAAGTGTTTCTGATGATAGTTGGTCATTATTACATTGGTGAATCGAGTGGATTCGAGTGACGTTGTGAGTGGATTTTCTCAGTGGTATGCGAACTCCTCGTTGTAATTTTGCACATCTCATATTCCTATTTTCGTCACTCTTTTTTGCCGCTTTTGATTAATTACTCTGCTTTGATTGTTTTATACTTTTTTTTCTTTCTTTTTGTATGTTTTAATCTTCTAGATTTGCCTATTATTAGCTAGTTCATTTTCTTTTTTTTCTCGTCTCTCGTGTTTTGCATCTCTGTTTTTTTCTCTGGTTTTTCAAAAATTCTCGCCCGCTCTTTTCTCTTCCTTTTCTTGCGAATTTATGACTTGTATCCTATATTTTATTCCACTTGTTTCCATCGGTCTTGTTATTTAACGAATCATTGATTATTTCACGTATATTTGATTATGTACCTTCAAATGTCATTTCTTTCCAGTGTACTTTTTTCCAGCAGGTTTGTTTCATACCGACTTATCATTCAGTTGTGACATGTTCTATTTCGTTTCTTTCGCCCTCATTGTTAATTTGGATTCGTTGTGAACTTTTTCCAACAAGAAGATAATGCGAAAGATGATATATATATAATAGACAAAGCTTTTCAGAATTTCAATGGTAAATTACAAAGCGTCATACAATTTGTAAATTGTATTTCATATAATCTCCTAAGATTTGTATCTAATGATTACGTAATAATGCAATCATTAGTACTTTCAAATAACATTTTATTAGTAGTAAAGATATACTCGTAGAATTATTGTTCTTATTTAGATAATTCATTCACATATATATTCTATCAATATATAGACAATAAACAGTTAAGTACATTAATTATATTAGTTATATCAATAGAATGGTGCAGGATTATAAAGTGCATTTTTATACAACAGTTCTTACTTCTTCCATTATAACTATATTACTACTATTAACATTATTATTGCTACTACCCCCACTACTACTACTACTACTACTACTAATACTATTACTATTACTTCTACTATGTCTACTTAGAATTGCACTCTCCTCTTACTATCTATTCATCAACATTAATAAGTCTATTCCTCTCTTCTTACATTCAATAATCATACTACTTTTTTTTAAAAAAATGTTTTTCTTTAAAAATCAATACTTAATAGATTATTAATAATCAATAATAGTGATCAGAACATATTACTTGGAAAATTATTCATATAATTAATTTCTATTATCTTGGTAACAATTACAATTATATCTGGATTTATATTACATAGATTTTATTATATTATATTACAAATGATTACAATAATAACATTCATTTATATTATATTATCATTATTGAATCAATTCATTATAATATATGGAATGATACCAGTACAATGTGGTTATAATTTAACTAGACGTATACCAGTATGTTGTCCATTAAGTAATATTAATGGTAAAGTATGCGGTGGACCAAAATATGGTGAATGTATACAAATATGGACACCTAAAGAGAAAGTACCAAGTGTATTTTTAATAGATGATAGAATTGATTGGCCAAAACGTTATTTTACATATTTTTGTCAATGTTTTGGTAATTATTTTGGTGCAGCTTGTGATGAATGTTGGTTTGGATGGAAAGGTAAACATTGTAATAAACGTTCAATTAAAATACGACGTGATATAAAAACATTAACTGATAGGGAATTATATATATTTAAAAAATTAATTGTATTAAGTCAAACATGGCCATCTGGTTATCTTTTAATTGATGAATCAGATAACTGGAATGTTGATCCATTGACAAAACCTAAATTAGAACATGCTTCTGTTCAATATTACATTACTTATTTACATCGTTATGGTAGTCGTAGTACATTGTATAAAAATGTTCAGGATTGTGAAGATTATGGAATATTAAATTTCAATCATGATGGTGTTTGTTTTCCAACTTGGCATCGTTATTATAATCTGTTATGGGAGAGATTGATGACAAAAATTGCGATACAAGTATTTGGTATATCAGATTATGCAACACCATATTGGGATTGGATCGGTTTAAGACATTGTGATATATGTACAAATAGATATATTGGCGCACCGGGTAGACGCAGTGAAATGGGATTACATATATCATCTGGATCACCATTTAGTAATCTAACTGAGTACTGCTATGAACCAATGAAAGATTTGCTTTGTTCTGGTTGTCAGAAAGGTGGAAAAGGTATAATTACACGGGAATTTAAAAAAGGGAACCTTCCGGATGTAGAGGATTTGAAATTCGTTTTAAGCTTAAAAAAGTAAGTAGACAAATATTTATGCTTATGCATATACCACACAAAAGTTACCTAACGTAAAGATTCCCTTTCAACTAATCTAGTATCATTTGAACAAGTTTTTTTTTCGGTTGACTAATTTGAACAGTGTAAACTCCTTTAAAATATTTAGCACCGAGCTCTTCAATGGTTTTGAATCAAAATTGAAAAATAAGAAGACCAGTAGCTACAAGCTATTGGGAAAACACAAAGCATTTTTACCAATCATTTACTTGTATAACTTTCAGGATTATTAGTTCATTTTTAATGTTTATTTGAATCTTTTCATTAATCTTCATGACTGCACAATTGATCAGTCTCTTATTGACATATATGTATTCTGTGTGGAATGCCTCGATGTCATAAGCATTATAAGCAAAGATGGATGGTAGCTAGTAGTGGAATGCAGGACGCACGTTTCGTCCCATTCGGACTCGTCATCTGGATGTACCTGCATCTCATAGTTGATATTTACTCCAGGACTCGAACCCAGTACCGTTCGTTTCAAACGCCATCATGTTATCCACTCAGTTAATGAGTCATCATAGCCACTGGCTTGTGCAATGTGATCAAGTTTCAATTCATGTTGTATTGTATACTTGAATGTTCCGATTAATGTTTATGACTGCAACTGATCAGTCTCTTATTGGCATATGTGCAGCACGCTGTACGGATTGCCTCGGTACTGCCTCAAGTCACGAGCATTGTGTAGTCAATTCTTGTTTATAACATCATGTATAGATTTCTCTATATAACTCAATACAAATTTTCCAGTTGCTTTTCTATGTACAATTTTCATTACGTTTAACTACAACAAACTGATTATTATACAATCGACACTGTTTGAATGAAGATATGATTTCAGAATTTTGAAAATAATTTCTACTTCATAATTAACAAGTGAAAAAAACATTTAAAATATTTGAATACAAAAATGATGAGCAGAATGGTAAACATAGATGTTTCTTGATTGAGATCTTCAACCCACTGATGTTAGACCACCACTGAAAACCTGGAAGCACTGGACGGCTGGCATCATGCCAGCTCAGTGATCTAGTAGGTTAAGCGTTCACGCGCAAGACGAAAGTCCCTGGGTTCGAATCCCGCGAGCGGGATTGTGGATGCGCACTGCTGAGGAGTCCCACAATAGGACGAAACGGCCGTTCAGTGCTTCCAGGTTTCCAATGGTGGTCTAACATCAATCGGTTCATGATCTCAATCAAAACCTTAATAATCTCCACAACCCTATACTGATAGATGTTTCTATGAGCGAATATAAACTATTAACTTATTGAATAATGAATTGGGGTTAGTAAATCTTCATTTGTACCAGTTTTCGTGTTCTTACTTTTACGTCGTGAGAATTGCAGTGGTTCCTCGTTTTACAAGTATACAAGTGATAAGCGGCATAATAATCTGTGACGATCAGATATAACAAGTAGCGTTTATTTGGGAAGACACATCAGATACCATATTCAATTTTGTTTTAATTTAATGAAATAAATATCCAATATTATTTAGTTGAATAAGTAAACATTCATTAATTGATAACATCATCATTTTGTAAAGCTGTAACCCTGCTACTATAATATTAACTTCAAGATGGTCAAGAAGATTTGTAGCTTAGATGGATGGTTTTGATGGAGTTTTATTCTACTTGAATTCTGTGCTGATGATATGGTTCAGAAGAAAAATGAAGGCTCCACGATCACCAAACCATTCAATCCAGAGAAAAATAAACCCCATCAAAATATTCACTTTTCAATTGATAAGTGAAAGTTTGTGTTATACAACCATCAACTAGATAAATGCATAATCAATGTCATGAATTAGTAATTAAACAGATTCTCCAATAATTACAAATTAAATCTTAGAGATAAGTAACTAATTCATCATTAATAATATTTAAAAATGAATGGTTTACCAGACTTTTGCTGCAAAACAACACTGAGTGGATATTTTTAATTATTTATATATACATATAGATTTCATGTTCCTGGTGAACGTCTCAGTCCTGTATGTCTATCATTTAATATCGCATTAGAAGGATTTTGCGGTCGACCTGGTGCTGATCCAAATCATAGATGGTTTCATAATAAAATACATGTATTGATTGATGGAAGTATGTGTTGTACAGCGACAGCAAGCAATGATCCATTATTTATATTACATCACACATTTATAGATAAAATATTTGAAGTAAGTTAATTTATAAAATTGAGTTTTGAAAAGTCTTATTTTGTGAATATGATTTAGATGGAATATTTAAAATCTACTCATTTCAGTAGTATTATAGAATAGTTTTGTCGTAGGCTTTCATTAATTGATTATCTAAATATTCAATATTAACTTGATCAGTTCATTTTATTAGGTCGACAAATTAAACTTGACTTTATTTGGCTTTTCTTGATTGAATAAGCGTCTTTCTCATGTAAATAATTCATGTTTAGTTTTTCATGTAATAAATGATGAAAAGAGTGTGCGATTAAATAGCAAAGACTTCACTTTAAAAAACCTCTAATACATAACCTTCAATTGTATGGGGTTGACGAAGACTCTTGGATGTCATAGATCATATGAAGAAATTATCTTTTTTCAAAACCCACCAAAGCCAGAACTTATTAACGCTTGTTAACCCCACTGGAGGAACATAGGCCTCTCATCTGCACTCTCTATCCAACTCTGGTTTTCCCTTTTAATGGTTCCCTTCAGGATTCCAAGTTAGGGCTTTCCTCGTGATACAGTTTGGTGATTCCCTCAATGTGTGTCCTATCCACTTCCAACGTCTTTTCCTAATTTCCTTCTCAGATCGAAGCCGGTTTG